AGAGAGAGGGAGAAGGAGAGAGAGGGAGAGGGAGAGAGAGAGAGAGGGAGGGAGGGAGAGAGAGGGAGAAGCTCTGGAGACTCAAGGACCCAGCTGCCTCAAATCACCATCTCCCAGCACACAGGTCGGGGGGCACAGAGAGACAATGCCCCATCTCCACACTGGCTTTGTCTCTTTTAGCCCTGTTCAGCTCACTGTCCCCTTTCTTCTGGAAAGGAAACGGGTTCCAGGCTCTCTGGGGTCAGCATCTGCATATTCTGTTCCTCTGGGCTGAGGAGAGGTGGGGAAAGCTGTTTAAGCCCTAGATCTCAGCAAGCCACTAGTCTCTAAATGGAAAAAAACCTAACTTTTAAAGTTCCATTGTGCAGTGCTGGTAACAATTCCCCCCTCCCTTATCTGAGCCCTCAGTGAGGGCTTCTAGGTGCCTGTGATCTGGCCTGCATCTCAGGTGGGTCTGGTGCTCAGGCTGTCAAAGGCAGCTGGGGGGCCGGGATTTTGCTCAGTGGCACCTACATCACAAGTGCAAGGTTCTGAGTTCAATCCCCGGTACTGCAAAAACAAAACAAGATGAACAGTAGACTTTAATTAAGAAACACAGTGACAGGCCAGGGATTTAGCTTAGTGGTTCCGCTGCCTGCCTTGCCAAGTTTGATCCCCGGTACCAAAAAAAATAGAAGCACAGTGACCAAGCTAATTGAAGAAAGCAAGTATTTCTGTGAAGCCAACTTAGTTCTGTATCAAGCAAATACTTAACAGTCCCCTCTTCCAGTAAACTGATGTGAATTATGATTTGAGAGAAAAGAAGAAAGCACACAGTTGCCTAATTCAAGACCAAACATTACGGTTTAGTAACTCCTTTAGGATTTTGTAGGTACACACACAGAACTGTACACAATGGTGAACACACTGTGCAAAAATTATATCAACTAAGACCATATACTTACGAGCAAGATAATGTCTTACCAACCAAGAAAAACAACATAGCTTTTGCCAGTCCATGGCTATAACCAATTTACAATACAACAATTTAGCCAAAACAGTTTAGTTACTTAAGCAGCATATTAAGGCAACAGGAACTAGTAATTTTTAAAAACAAGGAAAATAACATAATAGTTTATGTAAGCAGAATGGAAAACTTTAAATATAAAATTTTTTTTGGTACCAGGGATCGAACCTTGCATTTGTGAGATAGGCTACAGAACCACTAAATTCTAAGAGCTAAATCCACAATCCTAAGTATAAACTTCCTAAGATTTAATTTTTCCAGTGTTGGGGATTTATCTCAGTGGTTCTGCTGCTTGCCTTGAAAATGCAAGGTCCAGGGTTTGATCCCCGTAAAAAAAAAAAAAAAAAGTTTTGTTGTAAATTAAATTTCACTAAGAACAGATCATTATGTTAAACCTTGTCAGTGTAATGGTGCTCACCTGTAATCCCAGCACTTAGGCTGAGGCAGGAGGGTTGCCTCAAATTGGAGGCTAGCCTGGGCTACATAATTAATTCAAGGACAGCTTGAACTACACGGTGAGGCTCTGTCTCAAAAGACAAAAAAAAAACAACCAACACCAAAATCAATCCTACGGTTACTGGAATATTAAATGAGAGACATTAATGGAAATTAATTTTAGGACATAAAATGATGAACAGGCTACAGCCCCCAATTACTGAGATTTATTAGTTATTTCTTTGTGGTTTTTTGTTTTGGTTTTGGTACAGGGGATTGAAATTAGGACCTTGCAGGCGGCAGCACCACTGAGCTAAATCCCTGGCTCTATTTGTTTGTTTTGAGACAGAGTCTCAAAATACATGTAGCCCAGGATGGCCTTGAACTCGGGGATCCTTCTGCCTCGGCCTCTCTCCTGCTGGGATTATAGGGGCAGCATCAGATTTATTAAAGCTCATTTTTAACTTGACGTGTCCAGTTTTAGATATTTATTGTCTCTTGGGAATAGTCACTCAAATTTAAAAGGCTCAGATTTTTTTTTTTTTTTTTTGGTAACTATTGGTGGAACTCAGAACCTTGGGCTTACAAGGCAGGTGCAGTGCCACTGAGCTAAATCTCTGGCCTAGGATTAGTTCGTTTGCTCTTATATCTGTTACACATGTATCAATCCGTAAAATACAGTTAATAGACCCAAACACACCATTTATTTTTATTTTATTATTATTATTATTATCTTTAGGTACCGGGGCTCAAACTTGGGACCTTACGTTTGCAAGGCATGTGGCGGAACCACTGAGCTAGATCCCTGGCCCACACCATTTATAAATTAAATAGATAATACACGAATTTATACTTAGCAATTTTTTTTTGTTTTTTGTTTTTGCACTCTGTGGGTCAGTTTAATTGGTGTCCTGAGGAACCCCAGTATTGGGGCAGCACGGGAAAGGGGCTTAGGTGTATTCAGGATGCGCCCAGAGTCACAGAAGGATTGAGTCAAGCAAGGTAAGCCACAGCCCTGAGTGAACATGGGAGGCCGGAAGGAAGGGAGAAGTCGGGCACAGAACCAGACCGACCTAGATCCTGAGCAGCAAACGTAACCAAGTGGGGGATTCGTGCGAGCAGAGCCTAAGGGATTTGAGGTGATTCTAATGGAGTCTACAGGGCAAAAGGCTTTAAAAGAAGGGTGCCTCGGGGCCAGGGATTTAGCTCAGGCACAAAGACCTGAGTTTGATCCCCGGTAACAAACAAAAAAAAAGTGTGTGTGTGTGTGGGGGTGTTGCCACAAGTTTACAGAAAGCTTTGGACACTAGAATGGCAAATTGTAGATCCTTGTGTCAGCTATGGGTACAGGTTCACTTTGCAAGGGAAGTCGGCATTTAGCAGCTTGGGCCTTAGGAACCCGGGGTCTGCCCCAGACTGTCGCTAGGCTGTGTGGACACGGGGATGTCGGCTGACCACAAGCATCGCATCTGACTCAATGCACGTTCTTCTACTGCACAGTAAAGACTTAACCAGTGTCGGCTGAAGACCACACGGTTGGTTCACAGGATGTGTGCGTCCAGTCAGCTGATGTCCAAGCGCAGGCACCTGAGCCGGTAAGCTCCCTCAACTTTGAAGCAGACAGCTATGCAAATGCCTCATATTTTAACTTAACTATAAGTTAAATCAAATGTTTTACTTACACATCTATCTAATTAAATTTTTAAACCATTACCACAGCCGGCATGGTAGCACATGCCTGTAATCCCAGCACTCGAGAGGCTGAGGCAGGAGGATCGCTGTGAGTTTGAGACCAGCCTGGGCTACATGGTGAGTTCCAGGTCAGTCTCAACTACATAGTGAGACCCTGTCTCAAAAAACCAAAAAACAAAAACCCCCCAAAAGAACATTACCACAAAATGTAAAACACCTAACAAAAACAATTTTTTGTTGAGGAAAAATAATTTAAAAGTTGTGCTCAGTACCTAAGAATTTCATCTATGAAACTCGGTTTCAGA